ATCACACTGCTGGAGCTGCCGAAGTGATTTGCCATGGTTTCTCTTCAAATTCGCACTATGCAAGATGATGGGTGTACTGTGAGAGGGATGAATGGAAACGCCCTCGGTCATTACTCATCGAACCGGACACGGAACTGTCTGAGTGAGGACAAAAGTGTCACAGAGAATCGGAATTGGAATAGTTCCACCCAACCCCCACTCCCATATTTAGCACTCTCTCAGTCACTCCACGATTCTTGGCACAGTTTTGTTTCAGTTCATCTATAACCACGTTAGAACATACCGATTTATTGTGGCTGGGAGCGCGGCGGGTGGGGAGGAGGGTCGGCGATGTGGGTTAAAGGAATGAACGGACAGAAAACCTTACGCCCGCATCTGGATTTCCACTGTGGACGCATTCCGCTATCCGAAACTTATGGAACATAGAACAATGAAGAACGGAATGGAGACAATTGTTTCGAGTGACAATTGGTACCGTGTGCACGAGGAACAGCAAGGAATTAATCCGAGACAATTTGTTGATCGAAAAGAAAATAGCTACACTGACCATGTAGTCGAATCCGGTCACAACGGACTACGTAAAGTTTAACGGACGTACAAAACTTCTCGCTGAAGTGATAAACTAGGATTTTGTCAGACTCACTCACCCTCTCTCTCTCTCTCGTGCGCGCGCGCCTCCGCACAATCAAATGTTCTCTCCCTCTCCCCTCCCTGTGGTTTGACTTCGAACCTAACAGATAATCCTAAAAAANAAAATCATCACAAAAGACATTTAGTGTTTGCAGTTTTAATGAACAAATCTGAGTGGAAAGTCTCTTCTTCTCTCTATCCAACCCGCAGATAACTGTATTGTGTTAGCTCATCCCCAATGTGGTTAGTATAGTGTACGTACCACCAAACTGATCGTGCATTCGACTAGGTTGATCAGGTTGGGGGGTTGGTTAGCTATGAGTAGAATGGTAGAACAAATTTTATTCAAACTCTCCGTGATGGACACATATAATCCCGGGTAAATGATGTACACGTGTGTACATGTATTCTCAAACCGTATTCATGAGGGGGGGGGTGCAAAATACTTACCAGTTTGTCTTTTGTTTGTACAACCTGTCAATCAGGAAACAGTATAATCATTTCTGACAGTTCACTGATCTTATTTCTTTGCCCTACCCCACCCCCACCCTACCCCACGCACACATCCACCCACCCACTGCTGTTTTTGCGGACAATAAACTAACACTAACTGAGCTTCTCATCCGATGAACTAATGTCTTCACATTCGCGGACAAGCAACCTCATCCTCACCCGCTTGTTTGGCTACAGAGACCACAGGCAATGAAGGGCTGAGGTTGAAAGAGCATGGGTGAGACATGTAGGATAGCACAAAGACACATAGTTTGGACAGTTCACTTACCAGAATTGGTCTCGTAGACTGTCAGGTGCGCGGTGGCACTGTCACCGCCGACGTGATTTCTAGCCACACACTCCACTTGTAATCCGTTCTGGTCCCGATGGGCCTTGGTCAGTCGAAGTAGACTTCCATCTGGAATGGTTAGAACCACACCGACACCGAGACGTGGATGGCTAATGGTTCGATCGATCAGAAAGTTCACGGTTGGTGTCGGATTCCCCGTGGCCCGACAGAAGAACAGTGCAGTCTCACCGGCGATCACACGAACATTGATCGGAGGCTCGATAATTTTGGCAGGACCTGACGGAAACAATTGAGTCAAACACAGAACGATGAAGACCTCTCGGTACGTGTATCATAGACGAAGTGGAAGTGAAAGAAAGGAACGCACAAACGGATAGGGAGGGACAATAAAATTACACGCAAAACTTAGTAGAATTCCGTTGATCATATTAAAATTAATTATTATTTTTAAAAACTTGCTTTATTCAAACCAAGGTGCGAAAATTTTCAGCCAAAGATTCACCAGTGGATTATTGTTGAATTTAAATTATTTAAAGAGAAATAGACAAAAATGTCAAAAAAGGTTTTCGCGTAGGATTTACCTTGAACGTATATGTCTCGGAAAATATTTTGAGATTCACTGTAGTTATCAATAAAGACTTGCAAAAGTAACTCACCAAATAGTGTAGGATAGATATGCGTCATGCCCTAGGCCGGAACCATATCTTTTCCCATCAAGCTTTAGACGAATCCCGTAATTCTTTAGCCTCAAACGTTGTAGCTTTAATAAACTGATGACAGTTATGGGGGTGTTTATTATTGTCGGCCTGTTAATATATTCACATTTCAAGAACGAAGTTTACTTCAAATGAAGATACGGAAAGGTAAGCATAGACTATTTTGTGGTATCGCTTTTTGATTCATGTCACGGATTATGAATGAGAAACAATGTGTCGTGTGTGTTACATTTTACATTGTTACTCACAATAGTATCGCATGTTATACGGAGACACTGAAACTGTACGAGATGTTTCAAATGGCTTAACGATACGGGTGTATCGTTTTTAAATCTTATCCAATCAACAATCAACACGTTTTGCAGCTTTTGACCACCACATCTCATTTCTTTGTAGAAACTAATTTTTCAGCATTCGTTGACCTCAGAATATTCGGATACGGACTCACCTACAGCGGTATGACTGAAGGATTGTGCGCTGAGGCTAAAAGACTACGGGGCGTGGATAAAGCATTGCAGGTTTTGGCTAGAGGAATGTGGGTCAAGGCTAAAGTGGGGAAAGCTGTAGAACAATTTAGATTTGGTGGTTGAAGAACACGCACACACACATGCACACAGGGAAATCAGTGTTCACTGGACGGGTTAAGTTCAGTGGGATCTTGTTTTAAAGCATATCACATGAGGAAAAGTGTCCTCAAACACTGTGGAATAGGTCAACGTGGAACGGAATATATCAAGGGGACATGAGACAACTTTGATAGTCCTAGGCACAATGAAAGCTTTTATTTAAAGGACATAAAACAGATCAGGGGAACAGTTGAGACCAGGTGGCAGAAGGTTTAAGTATGTCCTGGGGAATTTGTAATGTTTTCACGTATACACACACACAAGTCAACAGATATCGTACCTTGTTGAATGTATTAGCAGTGTAGTAGTGGGTCACTCGGAGACATTTCATGAATTAAAGTTTAATTAACTCGTTACTGTAAACACATAGAGATGAACTTTTACTTTTCGTGGAAGACACACTTTCCACTACAATTGGACACATTAGGAAATAACTGATATAGCCTGAAGATCAGTGAGCGAGAGGATGCAAAGAACCATTAGGTTCAGAGAGCTGATAATCAGACAATTATTGGTCTGGTTGTGAAAGTCGTAACCCTGGAGGCTGATACTGAGGCACGATGCCCGCAACAAGCTTGAGAAGATGGGTTGTGCGATATTGTATATAGTCAAAATGAGAGACGGTTGGAACAACTCCCCTGTTTTCGAGTGGGTCGTATGCTTGTAGTCTACTTGTGAGGTCCCCGGTTCAATTCCCCTACTGGGGCGGTGGATTCGCACTGCTGATAAAACCCAACCAGGTCGAAACCGCTCTCCAGTGAGTTTTGCAATTCATGCCTCATTTACTCGACGGAGTCATCACATGTAGCCAAACCAATTCATCCCTCTCTCTCTCGCGCGCGCATAGAACTCACAATCGTCATCAGAATCAGTCCCGATTACCACATCAATCCGGCCGACAGGTCGTATCTGGCTGGACTCATGCATCTGAATCAAACGCGTAAGCAAAATGATACGGAATTTCATCACTTCGTCAAGGGAACTATTCCAACCTTACAACGCATTTCTCCGTGAGAGTACAAAGCTCTAATTAGACGTGGCAACAATTTAACTAAGATCTGGCGGACTGACGGAACAAACAAACAACCAACCACCGAAACATTCTGGGCCTCATATAACAAAACTCATTATTCATCTAATTGCACAGTGTTGTTTGAGCATAGTGTGTGCATTGTAATGTTGGTTGTTGGGACTTCATCAGTCGACTCAGGTAATTTACGAATAGAAAAGGAAAAAAAAGAAAAAATGAACAGCGGAGGGTGGCAAGTTAAACCGTGCCTCAGAATGAACAAGGGGAGAGGTAAACTGGTTTGGTGGGGAAAACCACTAACGTCATCAACTTGTATCCCCAACCCAACCCCCCCTACCCCGGAGGACATGTATAATTTGCCCCATTTACTATGTAAAGAAATCTTTTAGATCGAAAGCTTGTGTGGTTCAATAAAAAAATATATTCCATTAAAGGATACAAATGTGACAGGGATACAAATCTCTGTTCTCCCCCCCCCCCGNCCCCCCGACCTCTCTGTAACCTGCAACCCTCAACCCCCTATTTTGTTCCTGGCCGACTGATGAAGGTATGCTTCACGAGCGGGATGTAAGTTCACCCGGTCTGATCGGTAAACACCGTGAAGGGGATTCCCGGTGACTGTGAATGGCTACAATCCTCGGAGTCCTTGTTTTACTTCCCGAGTAGCATTTGACTTATTTGGTCGAAGTGATAAAAAAAGAATTACCTCGATTATTACCTCTGATTATTAGTGTTCTCTAAGAAATTTCAGATGAATAGACGACCGGTTGGATTTTCCTTTACTCAGGCTATCGTGCATGGATAGAGGAACTCGCTCTGATCCACCTGTACCAATCTAATGGTAACATCTTGGCCCTAATGCACATTTATCGTCCCCCTCCGCCTCCGCTCCTTCTCTACACTCAGATTTTATGATAAACAATATTGGTTTAGTGTCCGAAACGAGTTCCATGACGAAGTAGCAAATTTTGTCACCGTATTATTACACTCTGTGCTCTGATTGCTGAGCCGTATGACTGACAGGTGACCATTCCAATGGTATATATTCCTGTGCTTGTATCTCCCTCCGTTGTGTGTACGTGCGTGCGTGCATACTCAGGTCATTATATTTGTATCTTTTGTAAGATATTCCACATTCCAGCAATCCATTCTCCCCTTGAGAGGTGTCTTTATTCACAACGTTTGCCGATTGTTTGATTGAAATACTTGCTAGTGAAGTTTCCACCAGGTCGATCGATCGATCGATCGATCCCAACTTTAACTCATAAGACAATTCCGCGTTTTAACATTATTCTCGTTGGTGTTGTTGTTGTTGCTGCTGCTGTTGCAATCCAGATTTGCATACTGGACCGATTTAATGGATTTCAAGTGAACTGGAAAACTTTGGGCAAAACCGTGAAATTCATCGGGACTGTGAAAAGGGCGTTTTCTTCTTCTGGATACCTCTGCGGGGGTAGAAGGGGGTCATTAATCAAGCTGAATTCTGTTGTGTAACCATCAGTCATCCTCGTGTGAAATGTGACGAGAACGGGGGACAATGGTTGTCATTTAACACAACAGGAAAAAAATACAGTCATGAATAGCAGATCAACGACCGGTCCGTGTGGACAGTTACTCTCGTAGCTTCGGAAACAAGCATTGTACAGAAACCATACAGTGATAGCATTCGAAAACTTGTCATGAGATCATGTTTATAACATCAAAATCAATATTTAAAATAAAAAAATAGTTGTGAGATACAACTTTTAATTCATCGGATTCTTGCTTGAAACTAAATAACTTGGTCCATTTTTTTCAGATATTCATTTTTCCCCATCAACATACTGAGATACGCAGTGTAAGCACAATAGCTAAAGGGATATGATATTAATTGTAATCCCACCACACACACACACACACACACACAAAACAGCTGTACTCTCCCCCTTCCGTCCGTAACCTCTGAGTTCAAAGCTTGATAACGAAAACTAAGCATGAAGTTGAAAAATCCTTTGCATACGCCGAAGAAATACGTTAAGCTTGAGAATTGTCCCAAAAAAAATATACGTTAGGTTAAAAGTACATCCTCATGGCATCATTGTCCATATCACGCAACAGCACAAGAATGGCGCATTGTGTACTGGCCGAATTGTGACATCCATATGCGGTACATCTGTTCCTCTTTCTTTTTTTTCTCTCTTTCTGTTACTTCCCGGTGATGGCCAAGTGGTTAGGTCACCAACTTGTGATCAGTGAGTCTCGGGTTCGAACTGGTCCACCAACGCCCGCATTCCTAGGTAGCCTTTGTATGGCCGCGGCTCCCCTTCCTGATTGTTGATTGTACATTTGTATAGTCAATAAATAAAAAAGAAGTAAAACGACATCTTTTTAATACGCAGGATTCCCGTGTGAGTACTTTCGACATGAATGCTCTCCCTCGGTTGACACAGTACAAAAGCTTAGCTCAATTATCACTCGTACAAAGTTTAACTGCAGGTGTAGTGTTCAACTGCCCTGTGTAGCCATCTCTTCCCCCAGCCTTCCTGATTCACTCCTCTCTATCTGTTGTATTTCGTGAATAAATAAAGGCAATCCAGTGGTTACTTTGGTTTATAGCCTGTTTTGAAAATAAGTGGTATTTTACATGGCAACACAGTGAGACTGAGCTTGTGTATGTGTGTGTGTGTGTGTGTGTGTGTGTATGACCTTACACTTAGGACAATTCAACGATTCGCTTTATCGATTAGTAGTTCACAGATGATTATAGTCATTGAGATTGAAATTTAGGGGGCTGAATTGCATGACCACAGTTAATCACATGTTCTGTAGATCGATCTATTGTCTGCCAACGGACAACAAGATTGATGTAAATATATTGAATAAAAATTGAATGCTAAATCTTGATCGTTTCGAGTGACCTGCGTGGTACTCACAACATTGTGTATTGTCAGTTTCATACAACAGTTCGATTCATCATTTGTGCAAAAAATCGATTGGTACAAATGGATGAATAATTAACTATTTTCACTGATCCTTAATCCTTTCTATTTGCTTTCCAGTTTCAAATTCAGTTCTACAACCCCAGCCACTGCGTTGGGTGCACAGATGGATCAGGTGGAAAACAGGAGCACTAGATGGTGATGGCGGAAAAGTGAACTCAGAAATATCTACAGTCTATCTACTGTCTTTCGGATCCGGACCTATTGGGTTATTCCGATCCGGAACTGATAGAGTAGTCCCAAGACACACACACACCGGCTCTTCATTCTCCTTCGCTTCTCGGTCCGTTCACTGCCCAATGTACCCTTATCTGAAGTACATTGCAATCCGAATTAAGCAGTCCATAAGACAGTGGCCATCTCATGTAGATTTGGGAAATTTACTCAGCTATACCTCATCGTGAACCTGTCGTTTTTTCAACCTTTTCTCAAAATTTTCGTGTCTCGTTCTCACAGGATTGAGGAGAACCAGAAAATCGGATAGAAGTGATTTATCAGACAGATGTCCGGTATGATGGATACACGTTACATCACTATTTCTCAACAAGTGAAACTCTTGGTTTATGTGAAACAATCTGGAAGATTTCACTAGTGTAGATCATACTGAGTTACCGCGTCATTCACAACTGAAAAAGCCCCGGGACGTGTTGTGCTCAGCTGTTCCCTGCTGCTTGTTAGGAATTATCAATGGTTCATATATATCGAATATAGAATGAGGGGTTCGAATCTGGGCACGAGCGATTGTCAATCAGACGCACTGACCACTTAAGATATCTGGACTGATTCTCAGCAGCTTGCTACGCGTCCGCGCAGTGCAGCTTCATACACCTACTTCATCTAGTCGAACAGGGGGTAGTCAGAACGTAAGTTGATCTCAAGTGTTCCGCTTTTTCCAAATATTTTAAATATACAGCTCAAAGAACTCGACGGATGAGGTCTCGGACCACATCAATTCAACAATCGTCTGATTCGTTCACGAGTCGAATACAAATCAATACAAACAACGTTTATTGGATAGTCTCTCGAAACGGGATATCCCGAATTNATCGACCAAAGATATGCCTCAGATTTGAAACCAAACTAACGTGGAATGAATATAGGTATGATTTCAACTTCTAACTATTGATAACAAATCAGCCGGGAATATTTGCAGTCGATATAAATGTAACAATTCCCTCTCGTTCCGACACTCATGAATCAAAGGTTTATTTTAACTGAAATCGTTATTTTTTTAATTCCCAATAAGTTTCACTTGCAAGTCAATCATTTATGTTATTGGCAATTTTGTTCTGCACACAAATCCCTCCATTTCCCATTGGCCAGTGAGGCGGGAATTTTACAAACCCAGTCGGACATGTGACTTGGCTCGGGAAATTGCTCCCTGTCGGCACTTCTGTGATTTCACGACTGAGACAACGCCCCGACGGATGAGACACATCCACAACTGCGTGTCCTCGTACGACATCTTCCGGTAAAACCACAATATTATATGGTCGGACGAGAGCGTACAGCGAATTGCGTGCGCCCGAATGCACGCACATCCCAAAGCCTAATGTGTCGGACATTTTCCCGGATGGTTTGAAACGGAAAAGAGGAATTTTCGTGTGGAAGTACTCGACCAGGCCTGTTTGACCCTGGATTTACAATAGTATCCGCTATTGGTAAACAATGAAGAAATGATTGATTTAATTTACACACATACACACACACAGTCAAGCTAGGTGACGATGGCTGCCAACTCCTTGAGCATGTTTATTATTCAAGGTTGAGTTTATTTGGTCGTTTCCATGGTTAGTAAAAGTATGTATCGTCACGGTTGAGTCGCGTACACACGTAACTGATATTAGCCACCGGTATGGAACAGGGTGAGGGCATCTCTGCGGTTCGCAGTTTACCAGAATGAGTTTTGGGGCAATTCA